TTGTATAACCTATGAATTAAGTAGAGTATTAGTTACTGTTTGGTACAGAAGGTTAGAGTAAAAATTTAAATATTATAGCTCAGATTTCTTACCTTTTCTTCAAAATAGTGTGCAGTGTAAAATAGTATCCAATATAATAGCTGAAAATTAAAGACTTTAACAATGTTAAAAGAAAATAAAAACCAAACCCACAGAAAACCCCTAGTAACTTGGTGGTTGTGAAAGTTGTGCATAGGCTAACTAGCAAATTACTACAGAATAGAGCTTTTAGCTATTAAAGATCACTTAGGAAGATAAAATACAAAATTTTAAGCTCTAGCTTAAATGTCACTGGCTTGTCTGTTTTCTTGGTTCAGCAACTGACACTTTCACAAACAGCAGCTGGATTGTCTCTGTAGCTACCGTGCTGCAGTATGTACCTATCTGGTGGTATGCTATTGAATTATATTGGTTTCATTTACTGACAAGTAAATAGAACAAAATGTTAAAAAATACTTAGAGCTTAAAAACCGTTATATGCATACAGCTGAACAGTACTTGAAATGCAAAGACTGGGCTTGGCTCTACAGCATAATGGCTAGTGGTTCATGTGCTCGTAAAACTTTAGGAATCTATTTTTTTAAACTTCTTTCCCCTTAACCTGGGAGGCTGGAAATGGCATCAAAGTATCTGTCTTTGCATGTACATATGTATGTATTTTTTTATCAAAATAGACTATATGTTTCCTGTAGAAATGTTGCTCACTTAGCCTGTAGTAATCCTAGAGGAGGGCAACTAATTGTACTTACCTCTGCAAACATGGACAACAGTAGTTCCAACAGTAGTATTTTTGTCAGTGGAGAGGTTATGAGTAGGCAACATGGTGTTTGCGCAATATTACTGTGTTAGGAAAATAATTTGTTTACTATATGACACAGTTATTTCAGTTAGAAGCACTAATGTAACCCAGTAAATTTTTCCAGAAAGTCATCTCCATTTGAGTCACTGTTGTGTGAAGGCTTATGGAAGCTTTGGCCTGTCATTGCAAAGTGTTTGTCTCCGAGATATAATGAGCTTCAGGTTACCAAAAAGTCATCATCTTAACTGGGAAATGATAATAAAATGATTTAAACTCTGTTTACATGAAAGTTACTAAAACAAGTGCATTTAAGACTTTAATGTAGAATTGAAAAAGTCTTATTAGGAGTCCCTGTTGGTTTGGTTTCAGTATTATTCAGTGACAAACCACGAAGTATAACAATGCATACAGTTAAACATAGTATAATGTGAGATAGTTAAGCAAATTAACCAGATTTACATTTTCATCAGCTTATGTGCATGATTTGGAAATGTGTTAAAGTAGTTTTGGCCGTAGTTGCTGTCTTGAGTCACGTTAATAAAACTTATTCGGAAGTTGGCTAATGCTGGTGGTGAGATTACAAGTGAATGGAACTGTAAATTTGAACCCACAACTTTATATTGTAAGTTATAAATTAGGTTTTGATTACTGTAATTCTGTATACTTTTATTTTGTGTCTAGCCCTAGTATTATCTACAGTGTTTTCCCAGTTGGAGATTATTGAGACATATAGGTCTGCTAAACCTGCAAGACAGTTCACACTCTAGTATTTGGTTCCAACTTGAGATAATAGGAAGGGCAATTCTATTGGAATAATTAGGGCAATTCTTCTTCTCAGCCTTTATCTGGTAATAGTATGTGAAACACTGCTTAGTTATTTCTCTTATTCAAAAGTATATGTTCCTACATCAAAAACCTCAGTAACAAATTTTTCTTTTCAAAATGGGGTACTTATTTTCCTTAGTTATCTGTCCCTGCAGATTGCTGGCATGTGATGTGTTGAAAGATTTTTACGTATACTGCCAGCAGCAGTCTGTAAGTTTGCCTTATAGGTTGACATAAATACGACAAAAAGAAATGACTTTGTCTGTGGGGATGTAGAGATGTGTGATGTGTTAGTAGAATTGCAAGGCTGCTTTCCTTGTGGTTGATCCTGGATCACATCAGTAGGCTGCAGCTGTTCTTAACCCATATTAAGTTCTCTCTCTCTCTCTCTCTCTCTCTCTCTCTCTCTCTCTCTCTCTTTTTTTTTTTTTTTTAGCAGACTTGGTGTTATGGGAACTCTTCAATAAAATCATTCTCTTAGGGGAAAATAACATTATACATCATGCTAAAAAATGGCTATTGTCTTTTTTATGCCAATTTAGGAATTACTTAAAAATTGTGAAGTAGTAACATCTGGTTTTATTACTAGATCCATAGGAGATGCATAAGCTCAGTCGGAGTGTTGTGTCTCATTTGCTTGATTCACTAAATCCCATGCTTCTTGCCTCACACAGGGTATAAATGTTATATTTAAAGGTGTTAACGGTTTCTTTTAAAGGAAAAATCACCTTGCTAAATTTTTGCTGGAGCATATGCTTATTTAGTTTTATTCTTTACAGCAAAACTTCATAATGATTGAGTTTTCTTAGTTTACCAAAAGTGATAGTCATGTTGTGATCTATGGCTAAAATGCATCCTGCAGTTTTTCCATATTCTTTATACATTACTTCATCTTGAACAAATATTAGATAACTCTCAATTCTATTGTGGACAAAAGCTTTCGAGCATGGAAGTAATGAGGCAATGAACGGATAGATCCTCCTGTAAGCAGCTGTTGAGGACACTATTATGTGGGCGTCTTGAAGATAATATCCTAACTGCGACACTTTTCTCAGTAACTTGAGAGCTCGACAGTCTCAATGAAAACACTTTTTTCTTGTGCTCTCAAGAACTGCCTCCATTTGCTCTGTAATTGCCATAATATTTCAGCTCTTTCATTTTCCTCTGAATTTCTAACTGTTTTTTTACTCAGTCTGCTTGCTATAAAAAGAATTTGTCTTTCTGTTGTGCCAATTACGTGTAGATTCAATGCCAAAGTACTCCACTTCAAACAATTCAGTTAAACTGAATTGTATTAATCAGGAGACACTGCCCATTAGAAGGAGTACAGACCTGAGGACTAAGGTGTAATTTTGCTAATTGAGGATACCAAGATTTTAGGATGTGTACTCAGTTTTTCTGCAGTCTGGTCCCTGGGCTTATTCTCTGGCATCTAGTGCATTTATAATGCTCCATAGGGGTGGTTTTTTAATCTTGGAAATGAGAGGTGCGGGGTCTTTTTTCTTTTTCTTTTTTTTTTTTTTTGTTTGTTTGGTTTTTTGGGGGTTTTTTTGTTAGCAGTCTTTGAAGAACAGTGTTTGTAAACTCAGTTTGCCTTTAACAGGAAGGATGTAATTGTGTGACAAGTAACTAGAAGGAGAGATTCTTGGAGTAGGTTGCCACGTTAATTAGGGCTTAAAAGTGATGGGAAGAACAAGAAGCCAGTCTGTGAGTAGCTCTAAGACACAGCGCTAGATCTGCTGATGTGTGTTCGTGCAACATTGTGCCCAAACCAGTCAGTGCTCCAAACTCAGCATATTGGGAAGCACAGTGATGAGACGGTCAGCAGGCTGCACTAGAGTCAGTTTGGGTTGAGTTTATTAGTTCTTCCCTTGTGACAGATCTAGGCTGGCTTCAGCCAGAGTCACTCAGTTTTCTCTGTTCTGGGCTTGTTAGTGCTTCCAGTAAAGTGAGTGTTATCCATAGAGACTGAGCTGCCTTTGTCTGAAGCCAGCTTAGGTCTGATGTCTTACCCGCTCCGGCGCTCTGCCACCTGAAGGCAGCTAGATTGTTTCCAGCCATAAATTGTCTCTGGAAGCCGCATGAGTGTATTTATGTAGTTCTGCACCTGAGCTAATAAGTCCAACTGGAGTATAGCAGATTTTTTTTGTGGAGCCAGCACAGTGCTTGCATCTTGTCTAGGTTAATGAGAAATTTGCTAGAAATATATATAGATAATTGGGAATTTACTGTATTTGACTTCTCTATATATATTCTGGTGTCTAATGCAGTTTTACGCCCTGATATACTCTGACGTTACAAGTCTAATCAAACCATAATCACCTAAATTTAGATAATTTGAAATCATTGTCATATTACAGCTGTAAATTAGTTGTGGTTTTCCTTTTTTCCTAAGTGGATAACACATTTCAGCTTAACTGGTGCTTGGTTAGACCTCTTCTAGCTGCTTCATCTGCTTCCTACTAGCCATTGAGGAAAAATGTCAACAAACGGGAAGCGTAGTAGTATAATGACTTTTGTATGTATGCCGAAGGTATCACCAAGTGTGTTTCCCTGTCCAAGACAATGTTGATCCAATAAACATGCACTGTACCATTTGGCCACAGCTGTATGTCCCAAAATAAAGTACAGGAATGGAAAAGAGCATGGGAGAAAAACAGCAGGTGTGAAAGCATTCCTACAGAGTAAGAGTAGCACTAATGACCTGTTTGTTGTCAACAGGTTGCAGGGGATAGTTACAGAAAGCACTGAGGCAGTAAGTGGTTGTTTGCTGGAGCTTTTTAGTTTCTTAAAGACAAACCCTTAAACGTTACAGGCACTTTTATTAGGAGTCCAATGAGCAGCCACCCTGTCAAAAAAGCATAGGTAAATTCACGTATTCCTTTGTTGACAAAAAGCTAAATTAGCTGGCCTAAATATAAGATTACATCATGCAAAGGAGTTACTGTGGCATTCACTAAAGATATTCTTGGTTTGAAGAGAGTTGCATCCAAGGATCATTCCTGTGAGAATGATTAGTAAGTGGATTCTTTGAGGGAGAATTGCAGGATGTGGATAAAGATGACAAGTTAGAGACAGTCTCGCTGTTTCTTCTTTCTGTACTTAATCTTTTTTAGTTTATGACTTCTTGCAGTAGAAATTTCAGGAAAGTTGTGAGGAAAACCGCTGACATCATTGAATTTTTGTGTGACTCAGTGCCACTCTAAAAAATATGGCAGAAACCTGTCATATGCTTTTTTTTTTTTTTTTTTTGGCTGTGATGATGTAAAATAATGACAGGAATTTCTTCATAGTGATATCTATATTTTGACTATTTCCAATCTTAATATTTCTTTAGGTTGTGGAGAGCACCTTGTCCGAACCATACTAGCCAGAGAATGTTCATGTGCTTTGCAAACAGAAGATGCCCACCAAGCTCTCCTAGAGACTATGCAAAACAAGTTTATTGGTAAGTATATGGTGCTAATTGCCTGAACATTGCATAACATTGTTTAAAATGCAGTTAACTCTATTAAATAAAATTAAGATACTTATTTTTGTGATTTCTATTGAAGCCTTATGTTGCAGTTGGCTTCAAATTTAGTGTTGTGTTACATCTAAAAAATGTTCAGTCAAACTACAGAAGAGTCTTTTAGGAAATACCTCAATTGTTATGTGAGTCATAGAATACCCAGAGAGGTTTGAAGAAAGAATTTCCTGCCTGAATCACTGGCTGTGGTGTACAATTGCATATTTTAGAATTGGTGGTTTAGGAGCATTAATAAAAATTATTCATCATGTTAACCCTTTTAAACATAATAGGTCTCAAAACCACTGAATGTTCTAATTAAATGCTTTGGACAGACAGATTCTGGTTTGCTATTTACATGATGAAATTAATTTCTTGAAAAGTGAAGTATACTTCATTCAAGACTATTGTAAGGTAAAAACAATTTTTTTCCTTGATTTCAGAGGATTATACATGACTATTTATAGATGTTTAATTTCTTGTGAATATAGATCTTGTTTTCCTCCTTCAAGTCATAACCAAAATATGAATGTGGAATTTTAAAATGTCTATATAAGCTTGAACTTTGGAAGATAGCATAGATTCCAATGAAGCTTCTGGCATATATGTTGACTTGCACTGTCTTTATAGCCTTTAAAATTATGGTATTTTAATTAGAACTGAAAGAGGGACATAGGCATACCTTTTTGGGACCCAGGCAGTGTTGCCCTTGGTCTTGGCAAGCAATGCGTTGCAATTTCTTTATTTCTATTTATAGTGTTGAATCCATATGAAACTTTGCTTCTGACAATGTTACATTTGACTGAGGGGAAGTCACCTTCACACTGGAAGGCTGCACTTGATAATCTACAACTGTATTGCAGTCATTTCTAGGTGCTGTAAGAATGCAGAACAAAGTAATCCTCATATATTCCCTGAAGAGATTATAATCCAAGCAGCACAAATGTAACTTTTTGTATTTAATCACTTATTCCAGTTCATAGTGGCACAAAATTAGGGATCTGTTTACTGAAGAGAAGCCTTTAGGAAGGATGCTTGTGATAGCTTCGCAAATTTGTAGCACTACTCTGAAGGTATTGTATGGAAGTGGCCTAACTTCAGGAAAGTGAGATCTTCAGTCCATGGTCTCAAAATTTATTGTGCTGTTTGTGGTAGGAGTAGTTAAAAGCAAGCACAAACTGTACATATCCATATGCAATTTCATGTTAGTGCAGGCACACACACAAAAGAGGAAGCTACTGCCAAAGTAATTCATAGAAACTGGCTGATAAAAGACAAAAAAATCAGGAACTTTTTAGTTGAGGTACCTCCTTTAAGTTGCTTTGAATTTTCTGGGGTTTCTTTTTTCTTTTTGGTAACTGTTAGCGAAAATGCAATTCTTCTCTTGCTGTTTAGTTGAAATGTATTTTGCCACTAGTTTGCATAGTAGATGTTTTTATTTTAAATGTTAACTGGCTAGTATGTGATATATATGTTGTATTCTTTAGTGAAAATGTGAAAATGTTTGTATTTGACTTAAGAACATATTGAAAGTTGCTAAATTTTTTTTACACCTGAAACTATTAATTGCAGAGAAAGAGGAGCTGCAGAGGCAAAAATACCAGGCTAACAGTGTGATGTCATATTCCCTTGGGAAAACAGACTAAACCCAACAAAACAAGGGAAAGTGAGAAGAATGAGAGACAGTGTCAAATTAATGCTTTTCATGATAGGAAAATTTGGGAAAAAAAAAAGTGTTTTATAATTCCTTTTTAAGGTTTTGTGTTTTAATTAGGGATAGGTCTGTCTTGTATTTTCAGAAATTATCACTGCAAGTTTTTGTTGCCCGACAGCAGGTATGTGTATTATCTTCTCAGTTGTACTTTGGGGCAGTTCTGATGTGGGGAAAAAAAAAAATACAGCCACGTTTTTTTTTTATGTAGGTGAAGTGCCTGGATTCTGTGTTTTCTTTAGAAAGCATAAAATCTAGTTTGCCTTTAGCTGTCCTCTGAATGAAGACTGAGGAAAAACCTCAAAACCCAGATACATCTTGCTGTTTACATGTGACATAGTACTAAGTCTGTAGCCAGTAGTGTAGTATTGGGGGATCTTGGCAATTCTGGAGATGGAATGCAAAGTTATGTCTTGCTAATGTAGTGCAACAGTTGAAAACATGCACTACACTTAAAAGAATAGGCTTATACTAAATAGTTTTTTTTTCCTGTGAATTTTCACAGATGATATGCTAGTTTGTATCTCAGGATGTGTGGTATGATGTAGGATTTCTTACCGTTCTGAAACAATAGGATAAAAAGGGTTAATAGCCTACTTGCTGATGGCATGGATTCTCATCTTGCTAGCCTTTCGTAAAGCCCTATTTTGTGGTCTTGTCAAGCTTTTGCCAGAATTATAATGGACCAAGGCAAAAAAAAAACCAACCCAAAAAACCCCAAACCAAGAAAAAAAAGCTTTAACAAAGCAGAGCTAGAATGTTTTGTCAGAAGTCAAAATGTGTGTTACTTGTATTGGAGGGGTGAACAGCTGATTTTGGCAGTTGTCATCAGATTGGTGCTTCCTGTTTACAGAACTCTCACAGTTTCCACAGAGCCCTGGGAATCCTTCCAACTAGGGAATGCCTGGCTTAAACAGTGAGTGATGTTTAAACAGCAGGTGATGAGCAAACAAATGGCAGATGTGCTTCTCTCATCCCTTCTCAGAGCCAACTTACTATGGATAATGCACAATTGATGGTTGAATTGGAAGTGAGAGAAATGAAATTTAGATTTTTTGTAAATTGAATGGGCTTGATATCTTTAGTCAAAGAGCACTAAAGGCTTGGTATGCAGTCGAAGAATGGTGTTCTGTAAACACAAATACCTTCCAAACAGAAGAACAGAGGATTTTGTTACTCATCATGCCTTTCAAATGTGGCCAAGTTTGTGGAATGTAGACTTAGAGTAAATGTTTGTGTCATCTCACTGGCGGGAAATCTGGGGTTTTAAGAATGGCAATGTTACGAATTGTACTTTAAAGCTTCTTATAAAGTATTAGAAAACAATGAGCTGAAAGACATAGTTGGAATCTGATACTCTTTCTTTAGTGGAAATATGTTTGTCTATTCTTGTATTTTTAAGTTGTGCTTCAGTTCACAAATGAGCAATGTCTGCGGAAATGTAATAGCAGAAGGATAACGCTGGCGCTTTCTCTTTTAGAAATTTTGTGTCAAATACCTCTCTTGGGAGCAGAAGTTGGGACAGTTAGGAATCATAGAACGTGACTTTCCTGATTGAGTTATGCTTTTGGGTGGAGAAAAGCTTCATAGTTCAACAGTTACAAGACTGCCAGTGACTGTCATTGCACAGTGTTATTGTTACTTTGTATTTTGGTGCTGCATCACTCTACCCTTTGTGGTATCCTTTGTGGGTTTGTAACAGAGGAATCACTCTATAGAAGCATTGTTATGTTTTCTCCATGACACAGAGGAAAAGATTTGAGAAGAGAATGAAGTGATCCTGAAGTTTCATATAACCTATTTTATCCACTGCAAGTTGATGATTTCACAAGTTTTTGTGTTTGGTGCTAGACAGCATTGAATAGGCCTCTTTGTTATCTGTACAATAAAATCTGAAAAACTAACACAGTGTGGTGATGTTACACAACAGTTTTCCTAGGTTGTGCCTGTGCTTCTCCTTGTCAAAAGCATTGGGATTTTATTTGACTGCAGTATCCTCAGTTATTTAATTTCTTAAAATCTGACCTGTAAAGTTTGGAAGTACAGGTGCTTTTCCTTGCAGCTTCTTCAAAAATTCTAAACAGATGTTTTAACTTACTTATTGTGAAATATAAAGATCTCTGCTTTCAGACAGCTTGTGCTTAAACATTTAAGAAATAATGATGCATGAAATTAAAAGCAGGCTTCATTTAGTGCTTATATATTCCTCTAATGTTTATTTAAATTGTTAGCTTGAAGTTCAGTGGGGTACATAGCAGAAGCAGAGTGACAAACAGCTTCACTTTAAACACGTTGTGTACACAAGCTGACAGAGTCCAGTGGTGTAGGTGATATACAGATTATTGACTTGAACAAGTCTGAATTTCACTCATATTGCAGCACAAGAAGGTTTAGAACTGTTTAGCTTCATTCTGTTAAAAATGGGGGATGCTAAAGCACTTAATTGGTTACACCACGCCACAGTCAGTGTTCAGACCAAAGTTCTGAAGACTTTGAAAGCTAATGTAAACAATGAAGCTGGTGATGGTTTCTCTATTATGGAAGAGTATGAATATAAAACATCTGATGAACAGCTGGTTAGTCCTTCAGCTGGGTAAATGTAAATAAAACACTTCTTTTACAGTTTAGTATTGAATCTGTGCTAGAATGGATCTGTCCAGTAGCTACAAATGGGAAAAAAAGCACAGGATCAGAAATGAACAACTCATATCGATTGCATGCTCTAGTGGAAACAGTCTTCATCGTGGGAGCAGTTTAATTTACAAGAGACACAGAAGAAAAAATGTTCTTCACTTGTAGCTGTAGTTCCTCCAGAGCAAGACTGAAAGTTGAGGCCATTATTTGCCTTAACACTTGTGAAATCCATATGCTCTGTCCCCGGTCTGAGGCTGAACCTGGGTCTTGGTGTTCAGTTATGGTTGCTCTTGCAGAACTTGATGGGATCAGTGAATGTGGAGCTGCTACAAAGACCTGTTTGCTTATTTTTAAGATACCATTGCTGCAGATTGATAACATACTATATATATAAATAAAAACTTGATAATGCTTTCTGTATGTCAGATAGCAATAACAGAATAGTTGAGCTTTGAAGGAAGGAAATGTGTTTTGTAAAATGTAATTTTGTGACTAGGGGAGGTGAGGATTAAACCAAAACTATTGAAAGATGTTTCTTGTTTGTTTTTTCCTACCCCTTCTCTCTGGTGTGGTCAGTCAGTGCTAACATTATTAGTAAATGCTGTAGTTGAAGTTTTGCTTAGGATTTTTCATGCCAAATTCTTCAGTGGTATGCAAGTGTAACTGGGAAGAACAATGAGTTTCATGAGACTTAAAATGGTATTAAAAGCCCCAGGTTTTTGTAGTTTTGTCATTAGCAAGCTATTAGATCAAAGATTTGTCTAGCAATTCTATTTTATTGCAGTAGAAAAAGATATTTTTGGCTACTAGGCATATTTTGTTTTATTTTAATATATTTTTAATTGTATAGCAAGATCTATCATTCTTAAGAGTACAGAGAGAGCAAAAATGGTGTAGAAGTGTGGGACCCAGATTACTTTTTCCTTCTAATGAGAAACCATTATGACTTCAATATATGTGGCAGTATTTCAGCTGCACCTTTTCTCTTCACATTTAAATACTAATTAAATATAATGTATATGAAAAAATGCCATTACCTAGATTGTTATTTTTTACAGAAGTGTGCAGAATTATTTCTTTTTCTCAATGGCTTGGCTGTAACAAAATGATTTTTAGAACTAAATAAATGAAATATGTTCCTAGCCTTTGAATTGAGTGTTTTGAGAACACTCTAATTCCTGTGTACAGTGCATTGATTCCATTTAGAAATAAAGTATAGTACTACTTCTGTGCTGCCATTATTTTTACAGATTTAATGATGGATGCACAGCATTCAGCTGTCTAGAATCTTGCTTAACATAGACCTACTAATTTGCACTGTATTGCTGTGTTAAAATACACTCTTTAGCATAATTGTAATAATCAGTAATAAGTCTGCATATCCAGAAATACCTTTGTTTAAAAAAATATTAATATATTTGAATCCCTCTTTTAACTTTTTAAAAAATTGCTTTAATTGGAAAATAAAATCCATTATCTGTGTTAAAGAATGTGCCATTCAGAATGTGTTTAATTTGGCTTAGTGTCTGATTTTTAAGAGAGGAGAAACAGTCTGTCTGAATTTACTGTAACGTAGAATACTGTAATATTATTACTGTAGGCAACTGTTTTTTACTGCCACTATTTAGAGGTTGATTCCCCACGACTTAGCCAGTGCAGTGAATTGGAGGCACATACTATATTGTTGCTGATTTTGTACTGAGATGGTTTGGCTGAAATTGCTGGTGAAAGCAATCAGAATGGATGAGGGTGTAGTCACACAATTTGTTTCTGACGACTCTGGATGGCAACCTTCAGCAGCAGTGGGGAAACAGATGGCCTATGGAAGTGGCATGAGTGAGAAGATTGTGAACCATTGCAGGAGTTTTGCAAGTGACTGTGTGTTTGTGTCTTCATTTGCTGCTTGTGTTTGGAGGTGAGAAGAAGGGATATGTTCTTTTTTCAGACTTTTTCTCCTGTCCAGAATAATGTTGATTGTGTAGCTGATGATAAAATGGTGCAGAAGATTAAAAGTTGGCTCTGCATTGTTCTCTTTTAAAAAAAAAGAAAAAAGAAAAATCTTCAGTAGCTCAGCTGACAATATTAAATCTCAGTAATTTCTTGAGTTGCAACTGTATTTTGGCTCAATCTCTATTGCTATGGCTCCAAACCATGGCTGGCTGCAACAAGAAAGCCAACATGATCCCATCGTTTTCACTGCTGTGTTGTAGTATATCAGTCAAGGTGCTACAAATGAGGATAGCCTGTAGGTTCTGGGTTTTGATGTTGTGCACCTCTGGGCAAGTAACATTGTGTTTCCTCCATCTGTAGGAGAGATATAATGCATCCTGCCTTCTTTGCTTTGTTTGCATAACACAAACTTTTAAGACATTTCCTGGTTTAATACTCCATTCAAATTACGCACTACAAGTCACTCTAAGCTATTTTACTCATCTCTGTATCACCCCAGTACTACTGTCATGGTCAATGCTTACAAAGTCAGTGCAGTAAGACATAGTCTCGTTTGGCATAACGAACATTTGTCCTTACTCCAAGGGCCCAACTTCTGTTATTCTTAAAGAAGTCAGCTTCTTGCTTATCTGGTGTGTTTTATGAGTGCTGAAGTTAAAATGGTATTTTATCATGTTTTTATCATGCTTTTATGATGCGCAGTGCTATTAAATTAATCCTCTTGAGTTTTCTAGTTGAAATAACAGAGTGGCAATGTATTTCAGCAAAGACTGAGTTAATACAGTCAGTTTTGTAGCTTTTGAATGTTTATCATGGACTTAAAAGCCTTTAAATTTTGTGGATTTAAAACTATTCTTTTAAACCCCCTTTTAAAAAAAGTCTCACCAAAGACATTCTTTGAGCGATTGATTACTTTTCTCATTCTGTACTCCACTGAAGATGATGAATGGTTTGTTCTTGCAAAGAAATCACTGTAAAAAATGAAAGAATTCTGATGAAAATGTAGCGTTACATGTTTTGCTGCAGACTTTTTACATGGAAAGAAATATACTGCCAAGTCTTCTGTTAAAGTTTAAAAAGACAGAGCCTAGCATATGCAAGTTACTCAGATGATTGAAAATTTGATCAGTGATGATGGCACATAGTTGACAAAAATACTGGGAAAAATGAAGAAATATTTGATTAGTTTATTTACAGACTTTTCTTTCATCTACTTTCCTGAGAGTGGGAGAAAGAAAAACACTTTAAAAAAAAGTGATCAATCCAATGTAAGCATTTCTAGAACAAGACTTAAGTGGCATCAAGTCTATAATCAGTAGTTGCTGTCTGTTTTTTTGTGCATTCATACTGTCTTAGTGTTTTAGTATGGCCTTAAATATGCTATCTGCTTTAAATACTATTTGCTAGTTGTGTTCTGCTTAAGTAGAACATTTTTAACCATTCTAATTAAAGAGATTATTTGTATTTTTCACTAGAACCTTGAAAGAACCTTTCACGGGCCTTGAAAGAGGAGGAGAAACTGCTTATTAAAAAACAAAGCAGAACTTTTCTGTCTTTTTGCAATGACTTTTCACCACAGCATACCTTATTGCCTGAATAATTTATGTAATTCAGTATAAGATTAGGTCTGCATACCAAGTTCAGGTTAAGACATTGTCTTTGAAGTATCTGAGTTTCTGAAGTAAACGTTAAAGGGTGCATGTCCCCTGTGAAGAAAACCACTTGGTTTTTTGTTCATTTGCTTGCAGAAGTCATACCACATACTTAGCCAGCACTTGGTTGATGCAGTGAAAGTGTAAGAGAAATACTTAGCAATTTAGAAAGCATGGAGTAAAAAACTTTGATTTGAGTGGTAAAACTCTTTATAACTTCCCAAGCCTTTAATTTCTGTTTTAACCAAATATATTTTCCTGTTTTGTTACCTATTATGTTACAATTGGCTAGATTCTTGGTTCACAAGGATTTGGTCACAGTCAATGAGTAATACAGTAGGTGTAATTGGTACCTAGTAGTAATTCTTGTACAAAGCAAGTGTCACTTTAAAGGTAATATCTGTTTGTATTACATCAAATAAGATATTACTGTTTATTAAGCATACCACTTTTATTATTTTCCTGCAATATGGGCTTCTATTGTAATGACCACCTTGAATCACTTTTGAATGTGGCTGCTCTTACGTTGAGAGAAAACATGGTAAAGCTTTTAGTTTTCCTTACAGTAAAGCTTGAGGTTGGTTCTTACTGGTGTTTTTTTTGCCTGTTATTTGCATTAAAGGAGTAATTTTAATCATATGAATAGCTGTGGGCAAGTTGAAGGAGGCTGATGGGTAGATCTGCTCTAAAGTTCTTGGGGCCAGCAAATCCTTTTACAGTGTCTGTACACTAGACATAGTATACTAATTTATTTAAAAGAAATAATTGAAAAGAAATATATTAAATGACTGTTGCAATTGTATATTCAGCTTTAAATCACAGTATATTGTGAATGTGTGACTAAGGTCTCTTTGGGCTTAAGTGCAAGAACTTGGTCAATTTTGTGGCTCAAGACATTTTAGATCATATGTAAATCATACCATTGTTTCCACATTTAAAACTATAGGAATCTCATTTCAAACTACAAACCAGAAAAAGAATACTTAGACTTGATTCAGGTAACTTTAAAACTTTTCCAGCTTCTGATAGAAGATGTTTTATATTATACATCTTAAATTAACAGCAGAAAAGCCACTGTATACAGTAGGATGTGTTTGGGCTTTTCTGCTCATATTCATAAAACAGGAAGGAAGGCAGCGTACAGCAGTTTGATGATGTCTCTGTACAAAGTGCTTTAAATTGGGAAAAATTAATAAACAATAAAAGTGACCGAAATTTGCTTGATTTTTTTCATGTATGGCCATCTTTGGTTCTTTCTGTACTATAATTAATATAAATATTGAGACATGATTTTTTCAACTCGATGCTCCACTTTTCATTATCTCTTCTTTGATCCATGAACAAATGTTTTTGCACTCACAAATGTAATTTCCAATATTTTTTTTATTCCTTGTAGTTCTTTTTCATTTTTTGATTACTGGTAGATTAGTAGATTACTACTTAGAAAGTTACTCATTAGAAACACTAGAAAAAATAAAACTGATGCTTTTGTAAAAGTACTGGTTGACCTGACAGTCTTTTCAACCCTTAGTGACAAGATTAAAGGGGGAAGGCAGGAAAGTAAAATAAAAAAATACCCAAGAAACTGTGCCTATTATTAATAATTCTCCCCAACGGTTTTACCCAGGTTCACCTTTTCTAGCCAATGAAGATGGTGTACTCGGAGGTGTGATAGTTCTTCGGTCTTGCAGGTGTTCAGCAGATCCTGAATCATCACAGGAAAAGCCAACTTTACTAGGTAAGAAATTCTTACTCATTTTTACTTGAGCTAGGTGCTAACTTAAAGTGAAAGATGAAGTAAAAACTAACTGTGCATGTTTACCGTTGTTCAAAATCCACAGGGAAAACAAAAAGGAATTGAAATTGTTTGAGATGATAAAATTCTAGAAAGTGAAATAATAGTATTATCTGTGTTTGTGCTCTAAAACTGGAGAAGAGCATTCTTTCTGACTCATTATTTCTAAGCAGAATTGTGATTCAGAGGGTTATGTGGGAACCTTCTAAAACCATAGCACAGAAATAACGGTTGCTTGTGGCAAGGCAGGGTATGTTCCTCATAGAAAAAAAGTCACATTTTTAGCTAGGAGTAATGTGTATGACTGTTTACTGCTTCTCAGTGGTTTATATGCTAAAATTGCTATCTAAAAAGTTCTTTGTTCCTCCTTTTTGCAGGACAAAATGTGACAATTTGGAGGATACACTTAAAATTTGGAAGGGAAGTTGGTTTATGGCTAGAATTTTTTTGTTATGCCCAGGAAAATCTGTTCAGATAAGTTGCAGTTACTATTTGCATGTGCAGGCAACAGGAGTACTTGCTGTTTATATTGAGATCAGCAGAAAACTATGCCTCGCCTCCATCAGTAGCTGACTGGTTAAAAAGGCAATGAGCTTTACAGCCCTTCTGCCCTGTTTATGTCCTAGAAACAAGATCCTCATCTGTCTTGCTTTTCACAGTAGAATAAGTGTATTATAGTAAACTGTCACGTGATTTGTCCTACAGAAGCAGCTAGGAAACTGAAGGCTGTAGACTCCTGGCAGAGGTGGGTGGAAATACAACCCAGAGACAGTAAAACCCATGTTCTCTTTGAAGGCAGGGATTTGGGACTGGGGACATGAATTACTTCAGCATGACACTTGTACCATCTCCTTTCCTGTGGTGCTCCTCAGATGTGGGCATATGTGTCTGGTCATGCTATGTGCTTATGTATTGGGTCACATGGACCTGTCTAATGTATGTTATGCTACCACAATGAAAGTTGTATAATCCTCTGCTTTATTGTTGTTTCCCCAAGTGTTTAATGAATCGCTGCCAGTAGCATTACAGATTTAAAGTAGATTTCATAGCTTTTAAGATCTGACGTGACAAATTTGGTCACCTAACTTAACTTTGTTTATTAAGGCAGGTCACAGCTCTCACCTGCTAATTCTTGAATTGCATAATTTCTTTTTAATCTATAGGCTATTGTTTAGAAAGACACCTCACCTTTGTTTTAATTCATTACTACTTTTGTCCCACTAAATCCTAACATCGTGTCACCAGATTTTGCCTGCTTACAGCCAGCCTGGAGTAGCAGGCAGAGTGTGCTAAAGGTGGGCCGGCAGATATATTCTTAACAATGGGTTAACTCACACAAAATCCAGTGTTTATTGCTGTCTGTTCAATGACTTCCAGGATGTTAAGGTCAAGTTATTACAGTTGCACAGGATGAGGTGTATGTTATCTTTCAGTTTTGTTGTCATATTACACCTTGCTAGTTTGTATTACAAGAATCTTTAAATATCATATACTACTTTTTCTGTGTTGGTCAATTTGAGTCTGATTGTACACCCTTCCAGTCATTCACTCTAATAAGTAATTTTGCTCAATACAGTTAATAACATTCATGTTTCTCTACCCAACAGTTGCAGTTTTTGTCTTTTATGCTTTTAGTTAAAATCTCATCTTATCCATAAGAGTTTAATGTACGTTTATTTTGCTATTACAAAGAACCAGAGATTTGGGACATGAATCCTCACAATTCTAATGATGGTTCTGGGATTATCCTGATGGACAACAAAGGAATTTTGTAAGGCTTGGGTGCGAGAAGGTCTTAGAAATAGCTTTTTTATGTTGTATTTTTTTGGAGTTATTACTTGAATAGCTTGTCTTTTTGAAGAAGCAGGCTGTCATATAGACTTTGACAATCATCTTACTCTTGTGTTTCAACTATTTGAAAGCCAAGACTGTCTAATCCTGACTCCAGAATCAGGGCATAGGTTGCTAAACATACAGAGAACATTGCAAGTTTGATTTACAGTTTTCAGACTGGAATAATTATGACGTTATTGATCTAGTGCAAAAGCATCCTACAACATAAATTCTATCCCTAAAAAAGAGTTAAGAAAATGAAAATGTTCGTTATTATTTAGTCAAACTTATAAGATCAACTTAACCTTCAATTTCTTACGTTTGGGAGTGAGAGAAATATTTTTATTCATTTAATGTTTGTCATTCATGTAAGAAAACGTGTGCCTATTAAGGAAGATTGGGATTTTTTTCCTCAAAAAGTAATAAAATCCCAATATATCTTACATCATAAGACTACTTGTTCATTGATTTTTGGTTTTCTTTCCACTGAAATAAGATTAACGTAGCACAGCTTATTCTAAAGATTTTTTTTCTGTACCACAGAAATTTCCTGCCCTATAGTGTATGCTGAGTTAATGTATAATTAAACATATGTAGTATTTGTGGTGTTTGGACTGAAAATAAGTTGTGTAATACTGAAGAAGTCTGTGTGTAGAATAATGAAATCTCATGTCTTTGTTGTAGGGATGATCTTTTTAAATTTTTTTTTTAAACTATTGAAACAAATGGCAAGACAGTGATTTATTAAATGGTTGAAAATATGTGAAAAGTCTTCAGATAATTATGTAATTTAGGATTTTCATTGTAATTCCACTGCTTGTAATAGCTAGCAATAACCATGTCTCAAGCTAGTACATGCTACCTTTGGTGGACAACGTAGAAGGAAAAAATTATTAAAAACTTAAAAGACTAGGCCTAGAGTTATCAAAGGCAAAGAAATAATATTTTGAGTGTATTTGGCAGGAACTGTTGCCCAACTTCTCAAAATTGAAAGATAAGATTAAATTTGTCTCCAAAAAATAAATGCTTTCACTGGCAGTTGAACCTTTAAGGTATTAGGGAGGGGTCGGCCTCATCGAACGCAGTTACATTGCACTAAATATGTTTCAGTCTCTGAAAGCTTTTGACTAACCTTTGGCGATATCAGTCATGAATCTGTTACAGAGGGGAGCAAATCGCATACCTAAATGAAGTTCATTTTTCTTATATGATGATATCTACATATCTGTCAGAATCTTCAAGTCTTGCCGGGATTGTCTAAACTTTGATGTTCTACTCAGGGTTAATTGCTATGCAAGGATAAATGGTTCAAAGGATAAGCATACTCAGCATGCTGTGACCTTCTTCAATCATATTAAAGGAACATGAGGAATAGGAATGAATAAGAGTTTTAAAACCACCTAAAGATGCTTTTTGCAGTATGTTAAAGTCTCTCTCCAAAGAAATACCTGGAAATAGCTTTTCATGGCATCTTGTGTAATTCATGTAAGGTGACTCCTGTAATCCAAAGGAAAAATTTACACTTCAGTGTAATTTCTTAAGCCCTTTACAGTATTCTATGAAATACCCTGACTTCTGATCAGCAATTCATTCTTTTCGCCCCTTCCAAATTGTGTACTTAACGAACCGGAAGAAAAATTACTGTGACATAGAGCAGGAAGAATACAGTGTGGCAGTTTATAAAGCTCCACTAGATGGGAGCTAAATGTAGGAGTAATATGACCTTTGAATTTTGTGTTGCAACTGAGTAAAGGTGTGTGTGTGTGTAAAGATACAAAGATACCTATGTATGTATCGGGGAATTAAAGATCACTGTAATGGGCTGTTTAAATGGCTGATAAATCAGGGCACTTTCAAACTTTAAAACAACACCTTACTGAATTAACATGCAATTAACCATACACATTACCAATGATTAGTTTTCTTAATCATTACCACTACAAACACAAAACTGTTCGTCTTTAATATTTATATCCTAAATTAGCTGTGAGTATACAGTACCAGAGAGTTGATGCTATATAGCAAGTGCTAGAAGTCAAGGTGATCAGACCTGAGAGTGCTTTGATGGGGAAGCCAAAATGAAAATGGGCTCATTTCGTCTCCATCTTTCTTTTCTCTCTTACCTTTGGTGCTCCTTACCCTCTCCCCTAAGAAAGGGGGTGGCTGCATATGCTTTTGATGTAATTCAGCTTACTTATGGGACCTGGTCTTGCTTTAATTTTGCCAGGCATCTTTCTTGCTTTTTATGCAGTGGTACTCTGCTTCCATTAGCAGACATCTCCTTCTTCTGCAGGATTATTTTGCTTTCACCAGATGTCTTTCCTGCCTGCTCTGTATCTTCAGTTCTCATCTTGCAGACTTTACTACTTCTGCATGTTTTCCTGTATCCTACTTGTGGAGCTAAAGCACAAATCTCCATTTGCCCATTGGTAATTACCTATTATGTATGTATTTATGCTCAGTTCTGTGAAAAATGCTTGTTACTGGTTGTTCTGCTGATAGCGTTACAATTCTACAGAATCCTTGTACACCATCTGGGTTTATGCTGTTGTAGTGTGCTTATGTTTGGGTTCAAGGCAAGCAAATGCAAGTTATATCTGCTTCTACTTTATGGGTGGAACAGGCTTCTGCTTTAGAAGTTGGTCCTATCTTTTAGCTGTAGTTGCAGTTGAGGTATTTCTCATCTTGGATGCTCCATATCATTGAAGTAACGTTCTCATTCTGGGTATTAGTTCTGCAGCGTGTGACTGCAAATAGTGCAGGAAAATCTTGTTTGTTTGATAGCTGTTTCTTTTGAGATTGAATTAATCTGGTAAGTAGTTTTTGTCCTTTAAGTTTGTTTTTTGTCCTTTCCCTAACTATATTTTAAGCTGTATTTGTTTCTTAAGATTCCAGTCTTGTTAAATTACATCTTATATTTTAAACCAAAGCATTTTTTGTGACTTCTTGCATTTTCCTTTATAGTGGAATTTCTGTGGAGCCATACAACAGAGAGCATGTGTGTAGGCTATATGTCTGCACAGGATGGCAAAGCTAAGGTAAGCCATGGACAATAGGTTGTAATACAGTAGAATGAGTGCAGAAGCTAAGGTGAATATGAAATTGTGATAATGAAATATATAAGAAATGTCTGTCTTTAAGAGAATGGAAAACGTAATGGGTGCATAAGCGGTTAAATGTACCTATTGATTGGGCATTTTGAATTCCTTTGTTTGTTTTTTAATTGCAGCAGTTAACAAACCTACGTGCAGCAGTTGACAAACCTACGCTAACATATGTATTAGGTCAGGAAAAGGTGCCACAAACACATTTCCATTTCCTCTGCTGACAGTAATTGTATTTGAATAACTTTGTCTTGATTCAGTTATACTAACTATTTAGGATGGTATGGTGTTTTTCTGTGGGCATGTTTTCGTTCAGATAAAGCATTTGCACCAAGGAAGAAGGGAGAGGGTATAAATCAAACTTTAAAGTAGTTTCTAGAATAGCCTCCATGGTAACCAATTTGGATATTAACATCCATGGTTCTTTTTGTTTCTTGGGATCTAATTTTTTTCTTTTTTTCTGGAGTGCGAGAAGTAATATGTTAAAACTGAATTTAGCAGTGGAAACTGGAAAAATCCTTAACATCAAACAGTAGGGGTTAACCAAGAGCCACCTACTCTTAGGAATATTAGCACTGAAAGGAGAAAAAGGCAGGTTTTGCAAAGTAGCAACTAGAGCATTTGGGAGAGGTGTTTGGACAACGAAATGAACATGGGAGAAGCTTCAAGCAGAGACAAAATCATAATTTATGTAGATTTTTATAAATGTACAGCCTTCAGTATTCAAGGGTAAGAATGTACAATCAGAACTGGTTAAAGGAAGTGACAAAAGTGGGGGAAGAGCTAGAATTAGAAGTCAGCTCCCCGATACGGTTAAACTAATGGGGGAGGCAGGGTGTTTACTGGAATGTTTGCATGTATTAGAGGAGGAGATGACACCCAGGAAGTTTATACCAGCAGATAATAGCAAGAAAGACATCCAGCATTTTGATGGTAGAATTTAAAGGATAAATTTTAAAGCCTGGAAAAAGAAAGAATTTGAGGGCCTGGATTTGTTGGCTCTCTGCAGAAATGGCTGCTGAGGAAGAAAGTTTAGTCATCAACAGTGGAGGGGGAGAGGAGTACAAAACCAAAATCTTTCTCTCTTTCTTTTTTTTTTTTCTTTATTTCTCACTGTATTTCATTTGAGAGATAAATACAAAGGAGGATGTGAGTGAGATAATAGAAGAACATACAAAAGAAGTAAATTGACATCAGATATTTTAAACAGCAAGAATGGTGGTTGAAGCATTGGGAACGAATGAGTTCATCCTCAAGGAGTAAAATGTATAGAAAAAAAAGACAAGAATGCCCCAGAAGGAGGAGGAAGATAAAAAGCAGCTGGTGAGGGAAGTGCTGGCAGAGATGTTATTGAAGTACTCACTTTCATGGCTTATGTAGAGTCTTTTCCACTTGATTATCCATGGAATAGGGTGTGTTTTTACTTTGTTTTCTTAGTATTTATTTTAGATTTGTTAGAAAAGAATCCAAACTCAAGCTAAAAGCTCAGACTGAACTGAGTGAAGCTAAAGCAAACTCAGCTGCAGATGTTCTAGTATTCTCTAGTTAGTTTAAAAGTTATTGTATTGTGTTCACAGTGAAATAAGGAGAATTATTAGAATGCGCAATGTTAAAATTATTACAGTGTGCACACCTGCGTCTGGCTTACACTGCAAGCTCAAAAGCTGTTTCTAAGGAAATATTATTGTTTCTGCTGGTAGTGTCTGTCTAATCAATAAATAAATGCTAAATATGAATCTGTCTGGTAATGAGTACTAGCATGACAGTGCCATGCCCAGAGATGTTTTCCTACTCACAGTTGCAACATTTGACATCTGGTGTGCATTGTTTTCATACTGCTGGTAAATTCTCCAGCTGGTAATCTTGATTGCGCTGACAGACACAGCTGCTCTTCTTGGTTCACTTTTAAATTATGTTTTTGACCTTCATTGAAGAGTTAATCCCCCTCCCTTTCTTCTTCCTTTGAGTCTGTGGCCACAAATGCTTTCCAGAGAAAAAACACAAATGCTTTTGCTGCTGACTTCTATTGATCAAAAAACGTCTTCTGTCATAAAAGCTGGAATTTTATTCTGCTATAACTAGGGCTAAGTTATAGATGGAAAACTGGGCTTGAAATAGAACACAATGTATTGCTAGTGGAAAAAAAAAATTCCTTTTCTTTAACAGAGTAACTGGTTTGGTACAATTAATTTTGAGTGTTTGCCATGAAAGAATAATGGTATAAGAATTCATAAAAGTATAAAATATCACTTGTTTATGACTACCATAGGAAAATGATCAGGCAGCGGCTTGTAGGGAAACATCTTGCTTTCCTGTTTTTCTAGGGTGGTAAAGAGCTTCAGTTTTTATTTCTTTCATCAGTCTAGGACTCAAGTTTTATTCTTAAACCCAGGGGTTGTCACAGTGGCTGATTTTGGGCTGGTTCATTTTAATGAACATGAAAACATATTTTTATAGCAAGACTTTTAGAAAGTGAGAAGGGTTTTGAGTGTGTACTGTTATGAATTAGACTAATATTAGTATTGTAATTATATAAAGGGGTACATACTAAAGAAAAAAAGGATCCTGCTTTATAATCTCAGTGTGATTCTTTGTGCATTGGAGGTTAATGCATTTCATAATAGGACCTAGCAGATGGTGGGCCTGAACCCCGCACAAAGACTGTGGACATATAGGAGGCTTTTTTTCTTACAAGGCACTTGGACACTTACAAGCTAGATACCAGCTCACCTGCAGACACTGGTATACTCAAGAGGTGGAAACATACTCAGCCAATTAATTATTAGCAACTCCTTAAATAGTGGCACAGGAAAGTGGGATCGGAGACTTGAAGTGGTTTGTATGTCCTGACCTGCCGGTGCTTCTGGCTGTTAGCACTGTGAGCTCTCCAAGTACTGATTCGGATGTAGCCTTGCAACTGGGGTTTATTTCCTCCCAATTTAGCAAAGACTGGGCTCTGCGGCTGGCCACTCACCTCCCAACTAGGCTGCCTAAATGCTAACTTGCTAGCCTAAATGTATAAAATGGCTGAGCCTGCAAGAGCTGTGGAACAGTTTTGCACTGTGACTAATAATTGTTTGATTTAAAGCATACTTTCTGGAAAGGTGTCCAGTCTTATTTTGGAAAGCCAGTTGCCTGGAAAAGCCACTGTTTCCTGTTGAACATTGGTTTAAAATGTTCAGTTGAACGTTACTTTAAAAATACTGTGGAGCCTTGCCAGATGAACTAAGTTCACACCTTATTGCTGACACAGTTATCTCTGGTTGCATGTCCTATTACTTGCCTTTAGCGCTCTCTCAAGGCTGAAAGTATTTCAGCTCCACCACTGATAACACTGACAATGTTATCTTCACTACCTGCATAGTGGATATCTCACTGACTTCCCTCTTGAGTCTTATGCCCTTGAACCCCTACATCACTGCCACAAACAGCTGATCAAATCATATACTTGCTGGTTCAACTGTACTCTTCTTTGTTTCTTGTCATCCCTCTTTACACAAGCAGTTTCATAATCACTTGGTGCCAGTGTTTGTCATGTATTGGATGTGGAAGGAAACAAACTCTTTGTCTGAACAGCTTTGACTCTTTTATGTACTTCTTGGAACTAACCTATACCACCTATTGCTACAACTTATCCAGGCTGGTGCCAGGGAGCCTCAGCTATGATAAGCTTAAGGGACAGATATATTGCTTTAGAAGTTGCCAGTCCCAGACCTCCTTCCTGAAGCAATACCATGACAGGTTGTTCCAGCATTAGGCCTGTTCTTTGGGAAGATGAATGGACTTCCCGGGATGTCCTGAAGCAAGTTCCTGCATTGCCATCTATATGATGGTAGAATTGTCACATAAGCTGGCACTCTACTATTTCTAGCCATTAGTGAGGCTGTTAGAATATTCTACGTTGCTGTGGAAGTTTCTGGCCACAGCCATGAGAGTAGATAGAAAATACTAGTCTGTGGACTTCCTTTGCACTTACCCAGCTCCTTCTGAAGCAGTAACTGCTGCATCAGCAAAGGTTAAGACTTCTAGATTGAAGGACTGGGAAATTAAATGTCTTTATGAACTGAGGAGGTATGTTTTTTCTTTTTTGTTATTCTGATGTTGTCTCATAAATTAGTTGACCTGAATTCAAGATCTTTGATAAACAGGTTTTTTAGGTTTCCTGCCCAAACTTTCTTCTCTGAGACACTAGTCTTCAGAATAACCTTCCAGATGTTTTTTTTCATGGATCCAAAATAGATCCAACAGCTGGTCATAGCATCAGCTAAGAGGTCATCCTGTTACTGGAGCTGTGACCTCTTTAAAGATACTCTGGCAACTTTCAATTAATCTGTTCCAATTTTCCTGAACTGATTAGGTTGCATTCTGAGAGCTTAAGCAATTGTGTTGTCATCATTGGGAAAATAGCTCTATTTGATGGCCGCAGTGTTGCTTCTTGGAGCTCTGTCCATACTGTCACAGGCAGTGTGCAATATTTGAGGTCTTAATGGTTGGTGTAGCATTTGGTAGAGCAGTTTAAGTGTCAGTTCGCCTGAAGGGCTGTGAGACCTTCTGCTTTGTAATTTGGGAGTGGGAGAAATAACTCCTTGAATTCACCCATAATGTGATTTTTAGATGTATGTGGAGAATGAGAAGGAAAAGAGGTTAGTGGGTAGGTTACAAGTTAATTGACTCCTCTTAGTTACATAGTCTTCATATTTTCTTGTTCCTTGTCTGCTTGCCCAAAGGAGGATGCTGCAAAGGAAAAGAATTTCTTCAATCTCAAATGACGGTGCAGTGTATGCCTGCAATGTGAATTCACGTACCAACTGCATCTCTTGAAGGTTCTGGTTATGGGTAGGCAGCCTTTCTTTGATTTAATGTTGTGTATCTGTGCATAATCAAGCAGGAGCACTTTTATATCAGACAGGTTCTGCAGAGTATTTGTTCACTCG